TTTGATATTCAAGCGGTAAACTAATATTTGTACATGCTAACGGCTTCGCCTTAATCAGGCTGTCTATGTATATGTGCATCCGTTGCACATTTATAAAATTCAACGTTAGGGTGGTTCACCCTTTTAAGTATTTTGTTTAGCCTTTAGGCCTAAACATGCCGGCCCTCCTTGCTATATGCAACAGCAGTAAATCAAGTCAGCCACCACTCCAACGAATAATTAAAGGAATTGAAAAATAAATGTTGATTTTCGTAGAGCTGGAAACGTAGTTATCACCATTGATGCTCGTTTCGGATTTTTCAGTCTGTGGGAGATAAGAAATTAAATAAACAGGACATGGCTTGACATTTCAGTGCACAAATGTATTTTTATTCAAAACTCGTGTATTTCGACTTTGGCTGTCGGTGAAAAGTATATCCAACGAGGGATACGAATCCTTTCGATGTGGCTGTAGCTTTCCTTAAAGCTTTCCCAACGGTCTAATGTGGAGGTTGATACAATTTCGTCCCACCCGGTTCCTTCTAACCAAATATTTTGCATTAAAATTTTCTCGGTAATTACAAACGGTGCGAGCCACCCTAACGGATCGAATAATTTGGCAATAGCCGATAGTATTGCCCTTTTTGTATGTCTATCCTGATTCTCAATTGGCTTGGCAGTGAAGTAAAATTTATCAGAATGGGGGTTCCACCTGATGCCCAGAGCCTTAACCGTGCTGGTGTCTTCGAAGTCCAAGAAATCTTCTTTCAGCAGATAGGATTTTGGGATACCATATAATATTTCGTCGCAGTTAGAAGTCCATTTTCTCAAAGGAAAACCCGCAGATTGCAATACTGTTGTGATTTCGTCCTTAGCTTTAATAGCAGATTCGATAGTATGACCGCCCGCTAAAACATCATCAACGTACATGTATTTTCTTAAGATGTCCGATGCAATGGGGTGCGAATCTTCCACGTCGTTCGCTAACCGAAGCAGAGTTCTAATCGCCAGGTAAGGTGCGCAATTGACACCGAAGGTCACAGTATTGAGTTCATAAAGTCGTATGGGTTCGGATGGATTAGTACGAAAAATTATGCGCTGATACTTTGTTTGGTCAGGGTTTAGTAAGATTTGGCGATACATCTTTTCGATGTCGCTGTTAAAAATATACTTAAATAATCTCCACCGAAGTATTAATGTTGGCAAATCATTTTGAAGTACTGGACCAGGATAGAGCACCTCATTAAGGCTCACCCCATTTGATGTCGGACACGATGCATTAAAAACCACCCTTACTTTGGTGGTAGTGCTTTCGTCCTTCCTGACAGCGTGATGAGGCAAGAAGTAATTGTCACATGCATCTGCAGGAACATTCACATCGATTCGCGTCATATGACCTAATGCCTCGTATTCTGACAAAACTCGGTTATATTCTGTTTGCAGAGGTGGGTCTCTCGCCAACCGCTTTTCTATCCTAAAGAACTGTGAGCAAGCGATTTTTAGAGAGGGTCCTAATTTGACGTCTTTTGGGAAGTCCTGCTTAAATGGCAGTGACACTATGTATTTGCCTTCACCGTTTCGCTTTGTTGTGCTTTTATAAAGTTCTTCACAATAAACTTCATCTTTATTGTAGGATTGGTTTTTCGGAATGTCTTCCACTTCCCAGAAAGACGCGAGACGCTTATCGAGGCTGACCTCGTTAAAAAATGATACACATTTGTTGGCTGGCGTAACCGTGTCAGTTTGACCGGTTAGTATCCAGCCGTATACAGTCTCCTGCGCCAGAAGCGTACCTAAAACGTTTTTTCGGATTCCGCTCAACATTATTTGGGCGTAAATGTCGCCGCCTAAGACTAGATCCACTTGTTCATTAATAAAAAATCTCTTGTCTGCTAATTCCAGATCCGGGAAAGCTTGGCTAGTCATCGCATTTATTTGGCATGTCGGAAGATTTCCGGTTAATTGAGGCAACACCAGCACGGTTGTGTTGATGTTTATTAGAGGATCAATTGGAGATCTCAATTGAATGAGGCATGCTTCCTTTACCTGCGCTGAAATGGTGTTATTGATACCAGATACCTGTGCATGCATTCTCTTAGAAGGCAGGTTGATTCTGCGTTTGAGTCTTTCCGTTATGAAAGAGCACTCAGAACCTGAATCTATTAATGCTCGAGCTGAGAAATTTGTATTGTTATAAAAAATATGAACTCTTGCTGTTCCCAGCAATACGCCTTTGTTAGTATTAGCGAAACAAGACGTGACATTGTTCACTGAGTTCTTTTTTGCACTTGCAGCGTCGCGCATTGCTTGAGCCTGTGCCGAAGTGGACGCTATGTTATCTGAGTCTTTTGATGCATATGTTTGTTGCCTTTGGTGCATAGTTGCTTTTGGCTGAACTGCTTGAATATGAAGGAGCGTGTGATGTCGTTGGTGACAAGTGCTGCAATTAAATGAGCATGTACACCTGGACACAGTATGTCCATTGGATAAGCAGTTCAAGCAACCATGGTTCGACTTAATGAAGGCGATTCTATCGGCCGTCGTTAAATTGATGAATCTTTCGCACTTTGATAACTTGTGGTCCTTGCTTTTACAGAATTTGCATGTCGTTTTAGCTACACTTGCTTGGAAGGCACCAAGTCTTTTTTGCGGAGTTTCACTAGTATGCCTACTATTATGGGGCTTGGGAATTTTTGTAAGTTTAGTACCCGTTATGCCCGAGACGGTTTCCAGTGTTTGGAATCTGTTGGACAGAAATTTGTCCATATCCTCCCACTTCGATATCTCCGTCTTGTCTTCGATTGTTTGTTCCCACAATGCCAAGGTACTTTCTGGCAATTTCGTTGAGCAGAGATAAGTAAATATTGCATCCCAGTTCGATATATCAATTTTATGGCTTTTTAGTGATGAGATGCAATTATTTATATCTCGCTGTAATTTCTTAATCGAGACGCCGCACTCGTTCTCTATTGCCTTTAAATTAAAAAGAGAATACGTTTATTCTCGTACCTATCTGTTAGGTTTTTCCACGCTGTGGCAAATCCTTCGTTAGTGAGAGGACACTTCCTCACTATATCTTTGGCCTCACCCAGTGTTTTTTGGTTCAGATGGAACAACTTTTCAACTGGAGTGAGGCGCTTATTTAATATATATATGGCCGTAAACATATCTCGGAATGTTGGCCAAGAGAGGTAGTCGCCTTTGAACACTTCCGTATCGCACGGAGGAAGGTGAATGTTGTGTTCTTGGACAGACGTACCTTCTATGTCTTTTTCGCTCTTAACGAGCTTTGCATGCAGATCTGCCATGTTCGACATGCATCGCAAATATACAGCGTACGAGCTTTTATATTTTGGTTTCACAGCAGATACTGCTTTAGCATCTAACGTATCAGAGTTTACTAATTCCTCATATGCTGCCTTCGCTTTCTTCCATAACGTTTTCAACTCCTCTTGTTGAATGGCAAGAGTGTATTTGGTGTGATCAGTTTGGGCCGTGTCGTTGTAGTCGGCCTCAAATTCTGTCACAGCGTCTGCCAGACGAATAAACTTATCCATAGCTTGATATAATTAGAAGAACGCTTTGAGGAAAATGATTCTGAAAGCTGTTTAGCGAATACTATGCAAAAGCCTAGCCACACCACAATCCAATAAAGCTTTACACAGAATTTAAGTGGAATTTTAATTCCGTACCACACGTTTTATTTATTATCTCAGATATATAAACTTGCCTTGTAAATTTGTATGTATGTGTACGAATATTAATCTCTTACGCTTACAGGTAATATATGTAATTTGCTCGCCACCCAACACAGCAAGATATAATTAATATTTAAATCGAAGCAATTATAAACAGTGCTAATAATTGAATCTATCAGAAAATTCTGTGTCACACGCGAAAAGTGGTTTTGTGGATGTGAAATATCGGTCGTACGAGTGAATTTAGTGTGTATTAGCACAAAATTGCAAGCCAAAGTGAGGTTAAGACCACCCCGTGAAGTGTTGTTAGTGTTTGTGACTAAGCAAATTGAACGTACTTGCAGCACCAATATTGAGGAACATATGAAAGTATGTGCAATAAGTTATTAAATTGAAACAGTGCGAATTTCGAACCAATAAAATTTTAATATGTGCTGCGGTTCAACTTTTATCAAATTTTAACACCAACAACGTGAAGTGAGTTTTTTCTTAAAATGGCCGTCGCGTGTACTAATTTTTGCCGATATTGTCACGTATTGTGATTTAAACAATGCATCTTTTTTTACAAAAATCACTGAAACACAAAACCACTCGCGGTTAACTCTTGGAGCAACGATTATATGTGAGCGACTTTTTATATTTTAACGCAAATCCACTGATATATATGTAAATATTTTATGTGCACGAAATGCCAGCCACGTACCTTTTATTATCCTGAGTTAACGGATGTAAATTAAGCTGTGGTGTGTGTGGTATCAGCAAATTGCTCGTGATATCTGGGAATCTATCTCAGTCGCTACAGATGCTCCGCTTTGAAATTGCAGTTTAACAAAATATCCGTGTGTGCAGAACTTTAAATATCGGTGCTCCTTGTGTTGTGGACTGTAAAAATTGTGTTCTTAGTAAAAGGCCTCCTGGTGTTTTCTTTCTCGGCGGAGATGGACCATGGAAAAACCGTGGCGATTATGTGGTTTGGCAACTCCAATAAATCACCAGTGTTTTTATTTGAAAAGCAGGAAAAAATAAAAAGGCCAAGTTTTAGTATACTTCATATAAATTGGTATGTGGCGGTTTATTCAATATACATGTACTAAGGTTAAAGCTAGGTTACAAGTTACCTTGATAAGTGCGCAGGAGTGATGGCTGGCAGACGTCCGTTGATCCTTGAGTTCTCGCTAGAAGTGCCCGCGCTAATTCTTGCGAAGTTAAGTTTGACCTCCAAGCAGCAAACTGTTTGGAGGGGAAACTTAACGAAGTTTGATATTCAAGCGGTAAACTAATATTTGTACATGCTAACGGCTTCGCCTTAATCAGGCTGTCTATGTATATGTGCATCCGTTGCACATTTATAAAATTCAACGTTAGGGTGGTTCACCCTTTTAAGTATTTGGTTTAGCCTTTAGGCCTAAACAGCGTGCTAAATTAAAAAAATACGCATATGAAAGAGCACCAACCCAACTCGTAATATATTTAAGTATACAAATTTTAGTATTTAGTATAGAAATATTCAATTCAAATAATAAAACGAAGCGATTTGCAAGTACCGATTGCTTTTTATAATTAAGTTTAAAAAATATTTAAATTACATGCTGGTTGTAATGGAAATTGAACCTTGACCCTCTGGAAATTAGCAAATTGTGGCAAGCATCTTCGCGCACTCAGCTACAGCTAGACATGTAAATGTTCATTTAAATGTTGAGGTTGAATCAACACCACGCGTGCGTGTTATGAAAGTATTATTTATAAATACGAACATTTTTAAACGATAATCAAATAGAAAATATTCATGTTTACCATGCGTTATTTCCCTCAGTGAATTCATAACATTTTTCTGAATATTACAACGCGTTTTTTCTCTTAGTGTAGTGATTTTTGAACTTTAATTCAAATTAGTGCAATCAAATCAAAAACCGGGACACTAAAACGAAACCCGGGACATTTTTAGGTTGGACCGGGACACCGGGATAAATAGTCTAAAACCGGGACATGTCCGGGAAAACCGGGACGTCTGGCAGCCCTAGTATAAATGCTATCACTCACACAAGCTTAAATGAAAATAGCTATTTACTCAACGCTTAAAGGTGACAAAAAAATCGATAGCGACTGTCAAAATTGGAAAGACCAATTTTTTTTCTTTTTGGAACTTAAAAACAAGAGCTTCGAATATATAAATAATTGCAATTGTTTAAATTATTGTTATTAAAGAATTAATTGTTTTGCAAATTTTATCCTGCAAATCTTTCTATTGTGAAGGGAAAAGCTTCAGCAACTCTCAAAAAAAATTTCATCAAATTTCATCATATGGGTCGCGAGTTACGAATTTTTCTCTCAAAAACTGCAATATTCTTATAATACCAAAAAACGAAGTGCAATTTCGAAAAACCGTCCAAAGTGTATTTTTGTTCTATAATTATCTACAGATTCCCACAATTGTCTTCACTTTCCAGAAAATCAATGGAAATTCATTGACACAGTTAGCGTGGTTTGACTCTATATAACATTTTTTGAATCACGGTTTGAGATCAATTTAAGATATTATCAGTATATTTAAGTAATAATAAAAAAGTTAACACATTTAAGTAAACAATAAATATATAAGTGCATCACCTATTCCATTTCGAGCGAAGCAAAATTATTCCTTCTTTTGATGGTAATGCGATCCTAAAGAAATTATAGCATTAAGGGTTGCAAAAAATTCTTAATTTGCCCTTGAGAGGGGATATTTGTGATAAAAATTTAATTGGCTAACAAAAAAATTGTTTCCAGCAACCCCGGGATTTAAATCGACTAATCCCGGGATATTCGGGACTTAAAAAATACCGGGATCCCGAAATCCCGGGATCCCGGGATTGACATCCCTAGTGCCAACTGACGCCAATTGGAAACGCCAAGTGAAGCCAAGTCTTTCTCCACCTGATCTTTCCATCGCAGTGGGGGCCTCCCTCTTCCACTGCTACCACCCACTAACTGATAAAATTAATTTTGAGGTCAATATTTGCAACAAATAGCTTGTAGTCTGTTTTATGCAATAAGTAGCATGAATTAAGCAGACTTGCGATTTGACATGTAATGCAAAGAAATTAAGAACATAATAATTATGAATACAGACTTCTGTTGCTGTGCAGCTGTAAGTCGTTTCAGAAGTAATTTTCTGCTTAGAACTCGAAGTGGAGCTTATAACTTTGCCAAGATATTGAGGTTTTCCGGGGTTAACTACACGAAAAAAGGCTTTAATGGCCACTTTTGTTTGCTCTATGACATTTAGTACTATTCTTACCATTCAAAATGCGCCTTAGAGGGTTGCTTTACGAGTTTTCCGTCAGAAACTATGGCCATTGGAAGAAAGCATATGCTTGGTTTGGCGATGTTAGATTCGAGGACAAGACGGTTATAGCACCATTCGAGAGTGCATTTTGAAGGATAAAAATAGTACTAGAAAAATACTTGAAATAATTCCAATAGATTTTGATTACCTAATCAGAAAATTTTCTTCTTTTAGCTTTTTGTTTCGCTTCTTTTGGCCTCGTTCCTTTTTTATACCCGAGCGCACTTGTGCACAAGGGTATATTAATTTTGTTCACATAACGGTTGTTTGTAACAGCCAAAACGAATCGAGATAGATAAAGACAAATGTATACATATATGATCAGGATGAAAAAAGAAATCGATTAAGCCATGTCTGTCTGTCCGTCCGTCTGTCCGTCTGTCCGTCCGTCCGTGTACACGATAACTCGAGCAAAAATTGAGATATCTCAACGAAATTTGGTACGTGGGTTTCCCTTAATCCAAGGTAGGTTGGTATTGAAAATCGGACTTTAACCACGCCCACTTCCCATATAACGGTAATTTCCAGAAATAAGAAAACTGCGATATTTTAGTAACTACTGAAGATAATTCACTCAAAATTGATATTTGCAATAATTTTTAGAAGAAAAATAAGAATATTATAAATTTTTGGAAAATGGGCGTAGCCACGCCCACTTATGGTTACATGTGTATATCTTGGTAACCGCTGCACCAATTTCTTTCAAACTTGGCACAGTTGTTGGCCTTGACACAGCATACCAAATGGCCGAAAATTTCTAAAATCTCTCAATAACCACGCCTACTTCCCATATAACGGTAATTTTCAGAAATACAAAAACTGCGATATTTTAGTAACTACTGGTGATAGTTCACTCAAAATTGATATTTACAATAATTTTTAGACGAAAAAAAAAGAATATTATAAATTTTTGGAAAATGGGCGTAGCCACGCCCACTTATGGTTACATGTGTATATCTTGGTAACCGCTGCACCAATTTCTTCCAAACTTGGCACAGTTGTTGGCCTTGGTACAGCATAAAAAATCGCCGAAACTTTTTAAAATCGGACAATAACCACGCCCACATCCCATATAACGGTAATTTAGAGAAATACAAAATCTTCGATAAATCAGTAAATATTGAAGCTAATTTATTCAAAATTGATGCTTGCAACAATTCTTTACCAAGAAATACGTTTATGGTATAATTTTGGAAAATGGGCGTGGCACCGCCCACTTATGATCACATATATGTATATCGGTAACCGTTCTACTAATTTGTACCAAACTCGGTGTGGTTATTGTGCTTGCCACATATAAGCAAAACGTTGAAAATTATTGAAATCGGACTAAAAGAACGGCCGCTTTTCCTATAACGGTAAATTTCAGAAATGCTTGAAACTTCAATATTCCGAAATTGAAGGACGCTTATTTACTCAAAATTGATACACCCCGGCTTACCATCTAGCGGAAGGTTTCGGAAAGGTGAAAAAACATATATTTAATACTTGCGCCGGGTATTTCATGTTCGGCTCCGCCCGAACTTAGACTTTCTTACTTGTTAAATAATATAATTCTCGGGTTTTTTTATTTTTCTACGTAATTTTTATTTTCTGAGCCTATTTGAGCAACACAGCGGCCCGGCTTGCTTGGCCATGTCGTTCGATTGGGCACCGAACCACCAGCTCTGAAAGTATTCAACTCGGAACCCGCTGGTGGTAGCAGAGGAAGATGGAGGCCCCCACTGCGATGGACAGGTGGAGAAGGACTTGGTTTCACTTGGTATTTCCAATTGGCGTCAGTTTCCACAGAAGAGAAACGACTGGCGCGCTTTGTTAAAATCGGCCAAAATCGCTTAGGAGGTTACAGCGCCAAATAATAAGAAGAAAAGGATTTGAATTAAAAAGAATATAAATTTTAGCTATATTTTAGCTATGAGTCAATAGCACGTTCAATAGCTTACAATGTTGCTTTCTCTAACTTTTTTATTAATTTTACCTGAAAATTAAATTAGTAAAAAAGACTCTTATACGGCTGACAAACGGGCTCGCTTATTTGCATAAACAGCCTTTATTTGCTTTAACTCATGCATGTTCCTCTTTCAAATGTGCATAAGCAGCCGAACAAATGCACGAAATTTTTGGGAATTAACTCAGATTAGGGGAATTTTCGATGAAAACACTGGTAAAAACGGCGAACTGTTGTCTTTTGTACAAATAAGAAAACAAAGCAGGCGAGTTTGGCGTCCGCGCTAGCCGAGTGGTGAGAGTTGCGTTCTACAAGCCTATAGCTGCCAGGTTCGAACCTCGGTTGGAGCGATTGCGAAAAAATTTTTTATTTTTGTTATTTATTTTATTTTATTTATATATTTGATAATAGTAATGGATTGGCGCTTACACATATGTTAGTGCTTGGCCGAGCTTCTTCTCCAAATAGTGGCGTGCGCCTTGATGGTGTCACACAAAGGGGAGAGACCTACAGTTTTACGCATACTCCGAACGGCGATTATATTTTTATGAGAAGCTGTTTTTCATGGCAGAGATACACTCGGAGGTTTGCCGTTGACTGCCGAGGGGCGACCGCTGTTAAGAAAAAACCTTTTTCTATACCCTGCAGTGAAAACCCAAACCAGTAAGAAAAAATACTAGTTCATAAACTAGTATGTGCCTACCAGTTCGACATCTTCGAAGAACTTAAGCGTTCAGCGACATCTGCCTTTGAATTGCCAAAGCCTAAAATAAAACGCAATTAATTGCTTTTCTTACAAATGTCGGCTGTGGCGTCACGTGAACACAACTGGTTCTGGTTCTGGGATCGCAGGTTCGAGGCCGCTTGGAGGGGGTTAAGTTTTTTAAAGTTAGATCAATGTAAGTAGGAATAATTATTTCAATTTAAATATAAATAACAAACTTAAAAATCTAGTTGCATTACAAAAAAAAAGAAACAAATGTATGGGAAAATACTTGTGCCATAAACAAATAGATTCAAAAAATATTTTTTTTTTAAATTAAATTTAAGAATAGCAAAAAAAAACCTAAATAAAAAATATAAATATAAATTTTCCCTGCGCCAGGGCTTGAACCTGGTACCTCAGGCATACCACGTGAGTGCTTTGCTCTGTCGGCCATTGCGACTGTTGGAGCGCCGCGAGCAAAAAGGCATACTAATGCTTTTCATGATGCATAGCCTGACAATTGACATCTCGTAGGACATCGCAATGTTAAAAATACCAGTCGCTAACATTGAAAAAGGACAGAACGTGAACTAGTTGGGCTGAAACGCAACTGGTAGAATTCTAGTTCACAACAAGTAGCTTTCCCTGCAGGGTACTTTTGCGATGTTGCTTTGACCAGGGATTGAACCCAGGCCCTGCGGAGTGTAAGCGCGCACTGCTTACCGCTACACCACAGTGGCTTACTTACTTTTATTATATCACATTTTTTATTTTATATCACATTTTTTATTTTACTATTATTTTACTTGAATTTTATTAAAAAGTCAACAAGAACTAACTGAAAGCAATGCTAAAAAAATTTAGAACTTATAAAAAAATGAATAAAAACGAAATAGATGAAAATCGTAATGGCCATGGGACTCGAACCCACGACCCTCGGCTCGTTAGTCCGCAATACTGACGTCTGTCAGGGCAAAATTATTCGCATTTGTGTGCTTGTTTATATGCATAAGCATGCCCGTATGTCTCGCGTTTTACGTTATAAATAGTTTTTCACCGAAAACATATGGGTAATGAAGAAACTGCTTTATTGTGAAAGAAGCCCGAAAATGCTCGAAGAAACCAGATTTTTCAATTCTTAAGTCTGGTGGATTCCGCGCCAAAAAAACCTTTTCATATTTTGGACTGCTACATTACATTAGAAATGCTGCCGAGTTTATTTTCACTTAGAAAGTTAAACGCTGGTTATTTTATCGAATACTGTTTTTATTAACTTCAAAGTAATACAGGGCAAGCGAAGAAAAGCAAGTACAATGCAAAAGATGGTGGTCCTTAAATATAAACAACCCTTCATTTCATGTTGTGCTTTTTTAATTTTCATTAATTTAAAGGTTTCTCAGGATTAAGTGGATTTCATGATACCTTAGAATATGCATGACCCAGATATAATCAAAAATCTGCGAAACCTGAGAAAAAATTTTTTCCTTGGTTTCGTTTTCGGCGATTTGGGTCACGGCCCTGTGTGTACGTGTATGTGTATATATATATTATATGTATATATATGAGCATTTCAATGTTTAGAAAAATAAATTTCGCTATCTATGCAGTACCGTATGAGTTCTAAGTTAAATTTAAGTTAATTTTAATTAGTTTTTCGTACTTATTTCTTTTGCTTAACTTCCGAATTCTATAAATTCCTCTTTTTTTCTTTTGTTTTTTTTTTGGGTTTAAATTATGGTTTACTTCTAATCCACTGCTAATACTGTTCTTGGTAAATATTTTTTTTTCTTTATAATCTTATCTTCTTATCTATTGGTTCCAATTCTAAATATTCACATTGTGTATGGCCCGAAGGACTCACCGCTTGTTGCAACAGGTGTTGGTGGGGCCTGCTGTTGTTGTTGTAGCCGCACTGTTTGTTGTTGCTGCTGGTGTTGCGCGCTGTTGTTGCTGGTGTTGCGCGCGCTGTAGTAGCCGCACTGGCTGTTACTACTGCTGGTGTTGCGCGCTGATGCGCGATGTTGCGCGCTGTTGTTGTTGGTGTTATTCGCGCTGTAGTCGCCGCACTGGTTGTTACTGCTGCTGGTGTTGCGCGCTGTTGTTGTTGGTGTTGTGCGCGCTGTAGTAGCCGCACTGGCTGTTACTGCTGATGGTGTTGCGGGTGTTATGGCTCCAGCCCCACTTAAGGGCAGACCAGAGCAGCTCTAAACGAAGTACCGTTACTCGTGGAAAAGGGAGGAGGTCGAGTTAAAATACTGTCTTGAAACTTGTAATAGTGCCAGTTTGTTTGAGTTCTCGGAATTATCTGATAAAGATGTGCGCTGCAAAAAAGAAAAATATATATATGCATAAATATAAGTTCGAAACTATGTATTTGTGACAAGAACTATCCTTCTAAGGTGAAAACTACTACAGTTTCATTTTATACAATTTTGGTTTATAGGAAAATGCATAAGTAAGACAGTTCGCGTACGACGGTTCGGTTATTTGTACAATGATTCTGGGTTGTCGTGTCCAACCACGTGACCCGAATCAAGAAAACTTTAACATATACGTTTAGTCAAGGATTGCACTTTAATAAAAAAAAGATTGCGAGTGTAAATATGCACTTTTCTGTAAATTTGGAGGTGGATTTTGCTTAAAAATTCTGTGGATGGCGTTACCGGGATTGGTCTGATTAGGCTAATTTTTCTAGCGCGGCCGAAGACCATCACCGCGGAAAGGAGTTTTGGGCAAAAATACTGTTGCTGGCCTAGCCCAAGTTTAATTTTTATTCTTTGCGAAAATAATCACTATACAAATAACCGAACATTTCCCACGCACAACATTAAATCCTCTGATGTTTTGTATAATGAATTTCAATGTGGCAAAGTTGCACATAATTTTGTACAATTTATGAAACTTCAAAAACTTATTTTTTTGTAAAAAAAAAATAATTTTTAAAAGGAAACTGCCCTCTTTCTGTATCAGGTCTAGACCCTCGTAACCCCTATCAGCTCATTACCCCCAACTTATAGCTTTCCATAATTGAAAAAAACTTACCTTACTGCCAATCTGGGGGTGATTAGCTAAGTCCCACTCGCCTGTGCAGCAGCTTTTGGAGGGTGCTCCGGATCTCTTATCGAGCTCTGTCCCTTTTGGTATTTGAAGATATTTTTTAAACGTGCGCGATTGCGTTCTTGGTTTTTGTAATTTGAGTAACTTGTTTTGTTTTTTTGTAAGTTTTGTTGATTTTGTTATTTCGATTTCGATGGTGTTTTATTATGATGAGAACAGTTAAGTGTGATGTCCAACGGAGTTTTAGCTACAAAATCAATAAATTTCGCCACATTTATTTAACTAATACACTTTTTAAATATTGTTAATAATTTTTCTCTGGCCTGATACACTGACAACATATTCGCTAGCATATATGGACACGAAAATGCGAAGACAATTTGTATTTTCAAGGCGCCCACCTGACAACGCAAAAAAAGAATACACTTTTCTGGAGCAGCATAGTTTTTTGGTACTTCTACAACACTTTAAATCATTGTAGAGGCTTACAAGCATGATACAATAATTTTTAGAAGGTAGTTTCACTTCAAAATTTTTGACATAAACCGTGTATGTGACAAACACGCAATGTGGCCACTGCTACGATATAGAACTTGGGGATTATCGCTTGTTATTTCAGATATTTTTTAACAGAACATGTAAAGATTTATATGTTTCATAACTGATCACTTAATTTTTAATATAAATATACGTATTTTATACACACATTTTTGCCACTGCTAATCACATGAATAAAAATCATAAAAATGAAAATATAACAGCAATATTTCTTGTTTATAATGGATTAGATCCATCGCACACCACGGACTTTATCGGCCGCTAATTTAGATGTGCTCGCTAGTCTTTCCATTGCACCACAACTTATTGGTCAGAGCGATTAAGCTGGTGTAGTGTGCGCACCTCCATACATCTTCATGTACATATTTCAAGCGAGCCCTATCATTTAAATAGGCGGCCGATAAAGTCTGTGGTGTGCGGTGGCTCTTACAGCTGTGCCCTTACATCTATTCCGTGTGTTGCAATATCCACGAAAGCAGCAGTTAATTTTTATGAAGAAAATTAATGCAAAATATTCGAAAATTTCTCAACATATATGTTTGGCTTTTCTTTGTTTTATTTTTCCAACGTCAAAAGCTGAATTTTTTTTTTTTTAAGTTGGTACAACAAAAAATACGAAACACGTTTTCTGTCAGATAGCTAACATGGCGGATAAGAAGAAGAAGTGAAACTACCTTCTAAAAATTATTGTATCATGCTTACAAGTATGGAAAGCGCCATTTTGTTTGTTTACATTTGAAAACAGCTGAGATCACCTGATTTCTTATTCCTTCATTCTCCACGCAGGGTTCCACTACCAATTTGGAAAAAAACTTTGGAACACATTTACACAAAATTTATTACACAAGTTTATTTATTCTTTAAAATAATGAAAATAAAAATGGCAAAATGTATGCTTATTCTTTTATTTTCAATAAAAAATATTAATAAACGTGTTTCGGGAGATAATTTAAAATTTTATTAAATTTTACGTGTTTGCGCAAAAATGCAACAATGCACGTGATCTTTATGTCATTGTTTTCCTTTTCAATTTCAATTTCGTGTTCGTTGTCTGATGAATTAGGAGATTTTGTGCGATGTTTTCTAAAAATATTATAAATTCAACCATTTTTTAATTAATTTCTAATGCAGCAGCCGGCGTATGCAGTTAACAAAGTCGACAAGACTTTTGCTTTTGGATTTTATGTATTTAGTGGACGATACCACAACAAATATAGGTAAATAGGTGGTGCTAAATTTTAAGCTTACAGTGGTGCTATTCTAAATTTAACGTACCTATTCTTTTAGGCACACCAAAAAATTCAAAAATTTGTGAACTTAATCGGAATGACCAGTTTTGGAAATGGGAACTGCCATCAGATAAAATGCGTCTGTATATCATCTACTATATTTGTGCGCAAAATGTAGCCGAATACTAATTTGGGCGCATTAAGAAGGCGCTGCAGGAAATTGGCTGTGATCTCGCCAGTTTTCTTAATCTCCAACAACATAAAAGAAAGTTAACTCATGGATACAAAAACAATAAAAAACCAATTTGCAGACATAGGGCCAGTTTTTCAGTACACGGCCGTGGTTTAAACTAATTTTAAACGCCCGATCTGGCTGGTTTAAACTAAGATCAGCCAATCAAATAGCAGCCAGCTGTTCAATTTACACTCAGTTTACTTAATCTGAGTTTAAACTGGCACTGAAAAACTGGCCTATAATGGTGTTTTATATTGGTAAAAGGAGAAAATTAAAAGTAATAAAAGAAATTGTTGGTATGTATGCGTATATATATTTCTGGAGAATACTGGTGCCCACGCTATGACCACATGCATGTCAAATTAGTTGGGGGATCGAGCATCGAACATCATTTAGATACAAATTTCTGCGAAACTCTGTTCAGTTAATTTGAATAATGACATCGACGGGGGTGCTTTGAAACGTATTGTTTGACCAAAGAAAAATCGAGCAAAAGATGAACAATTTTAGGAAAGAGCAATTGCCTAGTTTTTATTCATACGGTCGTTTATCAAAAAACGGGGGTTTATCAAAAAAGAGCAATCATTTCTGTTTAAGCGATTCAGTTTTTATCGTTTGGGTAATTATCAAAATAACTCTATTTTGGTTTTTAACGAAAAGAAATTCAATCATAGGTTTGTATAGTAACCAATAGTCAGTACTAATTTGTACTGGAACCTGCAAATTTTGACTGGAAAAGTGTATGATAACCCAAAAAATTTTGCAAGAGAGCACTGAATCGAGAGCGTAATAACACGGGAGAGCTTCAAATTCTTGCTAGTGAAATTTTTACTAGCAGAAATTAGCTAGCAGAAGAAGAATAAATGTCAAAAGCCGCCATTTGTTGAATTGGTTTAGCACAAACAAAAGTAAAACGAGTGGAAATCAAAATGTTAATGATGTACTAGACTGTGTAACTGCTTGTGTGAAAAGCAAAGATTTTAAAACTGATTTATAAATAGTAAAATGTTTACAGCAGAATATCAAAAGGGTGCAACAACTATTCACTTGCAAGTTTTTACTAGTTTTGCGTTCAGTAACTTTTTCTGCTAGTTTTCTCTTCTTGTCAATTTTACGCTCTATTTTGCTTTTATTAATTAATGCTGAAGCTGTAATGCATATAGGTGCTAGGTGTTAACAGTAAGCTCGCAACGGCACACAACATTAACTTTCCGTTGATTTATTTTGTTTCAATGTTACCGATTGATAATTTATTTCGTTTCAACGTTAACGATTGAGTTTTGTTTCGTTAATTTAGCTCTGAAACGTAAGAAGTTATTTTTGCGCATCAACAAAACGAAATTAGTTTGTTGAGCATCTCTGCATACGGCCCATTATTTTAGAAATAAACAAGTAAAAAAGTCTAAGTTCGCGCGGAGCCGAACATTAATTACCCTGCGCAAAACTACCATTACGTGGTAAACGGGCGTTTTACATCTATTTTGGCCCCCATGTGCGTCGTCATTTTAGCCGCTTGGTGGCTAGATTTAGCTACCCGATTCGTTTTTGGGCCACATAAATTTAAAATTGCCCTTAGCCCCTTTTTAGCCCTTTGGAAAATTTATTCATCCTTGACATGAAAAAGTAGTATATGCTTCATTTCATCTCGTCTTCTTTTTCATTTATGCAAGAGATGAATTTTTAAACTAAGAAATACTTTGATAAATATACGCTACTATAGAAAAAGGATAGGTTCACTCAAAGTTATGTTAAAATATTACACCCAAAATGGATTTGGCAAAAGCGATTGAATTTCACATTGTTCGTAGAAGAACCATCCTATAAAGTCAAATTGAAAAATATTTTTTGATATGATAATACCTTAAAGAGAGT